TGTGTGTTTTTATGCATTATTTCCTTTATTATTAAAATATATATATCGGCAGATATTATTGTTAATATAAATTTTGGAAAAGGCTCATATACAACACCCCCCTCGCCGACCTGCACATGTTCACCCCCTCTACACCGTTCATCATGCTAAGTCTGCCAATTAAATGCTAATTTTTATGCTAATTCCTTTGTCAAGGCACCTTGATTCCTCTCACACAGCTTAAAGGTCGCGGTCTGAGCTTAGCTGTGTTCACTCTAGCGCTGTCCTCGAGACAGTCTGGACCCTTCACCTGATGAAGGCCGCTTGTGTTGTGGCCAAAACGTCGTGATTTTTGTTGTTTTATTTTTTTACCTACGTGACTTTACCGAATAGAACCAAAGAGTAAGGTCGTACAATCTACACTGGGCACAGCATTCCATATTACACCTGTGCTCGTGTCTCTGCATTGACTCCCAGTTCAAATCCGCATTGATTTTAAGATTGTCCAACTTGTGTTCAAGGTTTTAAATAGGCCTGATTCACCTTATTCACGAAATTATTCAGCCACACACTCCACTAAGATCTCTGAGATCTACCAATCGTGCTCCTACAAAACGTACTGCACTGCAGGCTTTGAACCGGGGGTCATCACTGAGGTTTTGTTTGTAGGGAGCCCAGGCTCTGCAATTCCCTTGCTCTTAGGGGTCAGGAACTCACAGTAGAGGTCGACTTTTAAGTCCTGGTTTGAAGATCCCACCACCTGTTTAACGAGACCTCCTCTCTGGAGCCGTGTGTGGTTGGATATGTAGTGGGCAGGAGCCGTGTGTGGATGGGTAGGTGGTGGGCAGGAGCTGTACGTAGTTGGGCAAGTAATGGGCAGCAGCTGTGTGGTTAGCTCGGTAGTGGGCAGGAGCTGTATGTGGATGGGTAGGTGGTGGGCAGGAACTGTGTGGTTGGGCAGGTGGTGGGCAGGAGCTGTATGTGGATGGGTAGGTGGTGGGCAGGAACTGTGTGGTTGGGCAGGTGGTGGGCAGGAGTTGTGTGTGGATGGGTAGGTGGTGGGTTGGCTGGGTCATGTAACCCGCACGCCCAAACACCACATGCCCAAGCATTTTCTGTTTGGCCGGATAGAGAGGGCTAAATGGACATGATTCGGGCTAGATAAGAGATGCACTGATGCGGTAGGCGGAGAATGTGCAGCTGAGTGGACTTGCCGAAGATGGGTACCAGCGGTGTTAAGATTGGCCTCTATGGAGAAGACTAGTGGAGAACAATACTGGTCAGTTGGAGGCAGTCGCTCTCCAACAACAACCGAGGGCAGAGGAGCAACGCTCACAACACCAAGTGGAGCGCTGGGTGGCTAAGATGCAGTAAGTTGGCACAGTAGGGGGCAGAGCTGGCGCATCTGCCAGTCATCTCAGTCAGTCAGCCCATGGCACCTGAGTCTGCCCCGTGACCTCCTGTCAGCGAGCCTTTGACATTTCATGTGACCTCAAAGTGCACCTGGCCTGGCAGAGGCACCGTAGTGATGTTACCGTCACTTAGTGACGATTGGCAGGTATTGGTATTGGTGTGTGTGCGTGCCCAGTGTGTGTTCGTCTTTGTGTCTGCCTTTGTCTTGTCTTTGTGTGTGTCTGCGTGTCTTTGTGTCTGCATGTCTCTGTTTTTGTGTGCATGTGCACGTGCCCCATGTGCTTGTGTGTGTGTGCAATTGTGTTTACTCATTGTGCCCCTTCCGACAAGCAATCCAGCATCAGGACTCAAAGTAAGTGAAAATAAAATATTTATTTTTTTCTATTCATATACCTTTATTTTATGTTTAATTTGCTATAGAGTATTTTTTTACAGTATTACGTGAAAATGTACATTTATTTTTATTTATGGGTTTAAAAATGCTTCTCTTTTTTGTTGAACCGTAACCCATTTCAAATCATTGACCGTAGGGGCATTTAAATACAGCACATTAGTGTTCCAACTTGCAAACCGTTTGACTTACGAATAGGCACAGGACCTAATTATGTCCGTAAGTCGATGAATGTCCATTTTATTAACTAGAGCATTGAGTATCTTGATTAATCGATTGGGAGCTTGATAAACAGTGGAATCACATGAAAAGTAACCAGAATATAATTAGGATTAAGTTGAGTAGCTTAATTACATTCTCAAGTGTTTAGAGTTTTTCATAAAAAAAGGTAGAGTTGCCAATGTGGGGCTGTATTTGCCCTCTTTGTATTGTGCCAATTTATATATAGCAGAACCAATTGTGGCACCTGGGTCTGTCCCGTGACCTCCTGTCAGGGAGCCTTCAACACTTCATGCGGACTCAAAGTACATATGGCCTGGCACAGTGGTGACGTTACCATCACTCAGTGGCGAATAGCGGTTATTGGTGGGCAGGAGCTGCGTGTGGATAGGTAGGTAGTGGGCAGGAGCTGTGTGTGAATGGGTAGGTAGTGGGCAGGAGCTGTGTGTGGTTGGGTGGGTGGTGCGCAGGAGCTGCGTGTGGTTGGGTGGGTGGTGGGCAGGAGCTGTGTGTGGATGGGTAGGTGGTGGGCAGGAGCTGTGTGTGAATGGGTGGGTAGTGGGCAGGAGCTGTGTGTGAATGGGTAGGTGGTGGGCAGGAGCTGCGTGTGGTTGGGTGGGTGGTGGGCAGGAGCTGCGTGTGTTTGGGGGGGTGGTGGGAAGGAGCGACGGTGTAATGGTTAGCGCACTGCGCTACGAACCTGGCGTACCAGGATCAATTCCCGTTCATGGGCCAACACCACTGACGATTATCGGAGCTGGTCCTGGGCCTCCCCTAGGTCAAATCAGCCTCAAATGAGTACCTGGTACAGTGTGTAAACATCGCCACTGGGGAGACAAAGGCGGTTGGGCGTGGTGCCGGCCACCCACCCCCTCGTGTGCCGTGCCAGCTTTCACAGGTGCTGCTCGCTAATAGCACTTGCCCCAACAGTCTGTTAAAGCTATCCGGGTGATATTTGTCTTCGGTGGGCAGCAGCAGCTGTGTGTGTGGATGGGTAGGTGGGGGGCAGGAGCTGTGTGTGGTTGTGTAGGTGGTGGGCAGGAGCTGTGTGTGGTTGTGTAGGTGGTGGGCAGGAGTTGCGTGTGCGATTGTGGTTGGCTCGGGAGGGAGTGTGTGGGGAGAGTTTTGGTCGTGTTGTTGTGCTGGAGTATCTTTCCACACGTCACCTGAAGTAGGCCAAAGTTCAAAACACATTTAGCATTGGATTTTGCCTTTAAACAGCTACACGGACATAGGTAATAGAAATCCACGTTTTAACAACTACATAACTTTACCTAATATACTGCAACCTATGTATTGCTGTATAACATAACATAGTAAAGACAAATTACAAATTGTACTACGTTGTAAAGGTGACTGCAAGTAAATGGCTGCCTTAAATGTTCTCATTATTCTGCTTAAGTCTAAAGTCAGAGGGATTTGTGTTCAAATCAACACTTGTGTTGCTCATCTTCTGTTTACGGTCCTGAGCCAGACGTCGACAATGATTTTAACCCCGGAGGATGATAGTATGATGGGCTGAGTAAACCCCCACACAGGATCTGAACTCACAATACTGCCGATTGGGAGGGGTATAAACGTATTCCACTATGTGGACCACATGCATACACACAAGAACCACAGCGAACCAAAACTCAATTTATTTCAAGAACTCTACAAACAGCGCTACGTTGGGTCAAGCTATGAGCAAGACAATAAAATAGTAACGCACGCGTTGTGCGCGACACGACACGAACGCTGCAGAATATTAATATTGAAGGAAGCTCGAGATCACAATGATGACATAAAGACCATCGAGAGCTGCATAGGTCGCTTTTGTAAGAGTGAATATAGCAAAGAAAAGCAACACAGCAGCTGATGAAACATTGAATGCTGAAACCGGTCCAATGTCTGCTTGTGTTGAACCAACGCTGTTTTCATGCCGCACTCCCAGACAGCTGTGTGGATGATGGGATGTGTCAAAAAAATACTTTTGTGCGTATTTACTGTTCCCTGAGAACGTTCGTAATCAGTGCATATGAACCACCTGGAACGGAGCGCAAACAACCAAGACAATAAATTGTCAGAGCACAAAGAGTGCACACCAAGTGCGCGAGACCTGCCGCTGCTGTGTAACATCTCTACACACAGACACGTGCACAATGAGGCGCTCTCACCTTGAGACTGCCTCTGACATCTCTACACACGGCCACACACAGCCACACACGGCGACAAACAGGCGACATTCGCCACCGGTTGACGTCACTACGTCGTTTGTGCCAGACTAGGTTCACATCGAGGCCAACACACTCACTGACACGAAGATCCCCACCTGAAAGCAAACGCTTGCGAACGCTGCACGGCACACGAGGGGGTGATGTGGCCAACATCGCGCCGCTAGCCCGGACGCCTTTGTCTCCCAAGTGCTGATGTTTACACACCGCACCAACCAGGCCCTCGTTTACACACCGACACACACACTTACACCGACACACACCGGACACACACGCTTACACCGACACACACGCTTACACCGACACACACGCTTACACCGACACACACAGACACACACCGACACACACTTACACAGACACACACAGACACACTCACACCGACACACACAGACACACACACACACACACTTATACACACAGACACACACTTATACACACAGACACACACTTACACACACAGACACACACTTACACACACACACTTACACAGACACACACCGACACACACACACTTACACCGACACACACTTACACAGACACAGCAACCGCCATTCGCCACTAAGTGGCGGTGACGTCACCACGACGCTTGTGCCAGGCTATGTGCACCCTGAGGCCACGTGGAGTGTCGAACGCCCGCTGGCAGGAGGTCACGGGGCAAACCCAGGTGCCACGGGTCGACTGAGATGACTGGCTGATGCACCACCTGTGCCTCCTACCGTGCCAACCGACACACACAGACACACACACACTTACACACACACTTACACACACTTACACACACGCACCTTGCGTAGTGCGCTTCTCAGCTGCGCGTGCTCCCCGCTCCGAGTCTCCGCGCTCCCCCCCGCGGCAGCGCCTCGCGCCAAGCGCGGCGCGCGCGGGGCGGCGCGACCACCGAACAGCAGCAGCGGCAGCGGCAGACGCGACGACATGACAGACATGACAGTGACGGAGAGCGACGGAGAGAAAGAGAAAGAGCAGCGGAGAGTGAAAGTCGAACCGCGGAGCAGCGAAGAGCGAGTGGCGGCGGGATGTTTGCAGTGGCGGAAGTTGAGGGGGTCTCAGTGGGAGGTGCCTATGGAGGGACGGGGCCGATGGGCGGGGCCTAGGGTCCGGGGGCGGGGCCTAGGGTCCGGGGGCGGGGCCACCCGACTCATGAAGGCGTGGCCGTCAAATAGCTGCTGTCGAAGTTACTCCGTGATGCCGGGGGAGGGCTACGCCCCCTTGTTTGAAAGGTTTGCCTCGCATTGTGCTGTAGGTAACGACTGGATAACTATTGGGTACAGGCGACCCCAGCACCTACGACCTAATTTGTTCCTGGGCGACGGCCGAAAGTGAAGACGTCGTAAGTCGAAGCCTTATTTCCCATAGGCGCAATGCTATACATTAGGGTTCCGTTCCTGGAAACCCATTACATACCATAAAAATACCAAAATTGTCCACAAAAGAAATGAAAATAACCCTAACAAAACATTAATTGTAACTGAACATTACCATTACCAACATTTATTAAGTAAAAACAAACACTTAGATTTGAAAATCCTTAAGTACTTTTCTGCACGTGCATCACATTTCCTCTTCTCAGATGGAGCGAAAGGCGAACATTTTTCAAAATTTGAAGAAAAATTACAAAGAAGTGAAAGAGCGTTGATAGAGAGACGCTGCTGCATTCGCTCTCTGCGCAGCTGCAGGCTGTCGGGATATACTGCACACTCGCATACGACGGAAGAGCAAGCAGCGCATGATAAGTGCAGACTCATCGCCAATTGACTCGGCGTCGGTAGCAGTCATTAGGCGGTCAAAGATACGAGTTTTGATCGTCTCCTCTTCCTGTCCACTCGCTCTCTGGCCCATGTGATATGAGCAAGGGCAACTGGTTGCCCAAAACTTGGCCAGTTATATATGAGGCCACATTGTTGTTGCCGAGTGTGAGTTTTTAATTAATGATTAATTTTATTTATCTTTTTGCTTGTTTATCCAGGGGAGTGTGAGGGAGGTTATTGGTCTCCCCATTCTATTCCGCCACATCCACTCATCACATGAGCTTCGCCGGCGCTCGCACCGGACGAGATGAAACTCGACAAAAACAAATCTCTCCATTAACAAACACTGAGACCACCGCAACTCGATGTGTCCGAACGCCAGGTCCATCTGCAAGTCACATCTAAATTAACCCATGGCACCGGAGCCTGTCCTTTAACCTCCTGCCAGCACACCTTTGATACTTCAAGTGGGCTCAAGGTTTACCTAGTCTGGCACAAACGCCGTGGTGATATCACCGCCACTTTGTGGTAAACACCGGTTGTTGTAATAATATACATTTTCAGGAAAGACAGTAATCACCTTAATCCAGTGTTAACTTTATATGTGTAGTGACAATAGAGCCTACATGTGGTGTGAGGGGACTAGTGGCCGCGGGAGGTAATGACATGGAAGTCAGCCTACAGTACAAGTGCACAAGTGGCCACGGGAGGTAATGACAGGGGTATCAGTTGTGAGTGTGAAGGGACTGGTGGCTACGAGAATGACCGAGAAGGGGGGCGTGGCCTCGGATAGTATATAACGGAGATGTGCGGAAGACTCAAGGCTATTGCAGTAGGATCTCCGCCTGATGTCAAGTGAACGTGTCTTCAATAAAGTGCCATCTCGAGAGCAGTGTGTCAAGTCGTCATTACATGTGTAGTGGGTTCTATTGAGATGCACTCTTGAGTATGGAGGCAACACGTTTTATTCACTAACATAACAGGTAAGTCTACACTCAACGGGATAACGACTAGGGGTGGTGACCACCCTGGATAGCTACATAACACTCATGGGAACACTATATAAACTGCCGGGCCAGCTAACACGTTGCCCAGCTCTTGACGACTTCTCTCCCGCCCGAAGGCCGAGGATCCAAGACTTGGCGGGCGGGCCCCATCTCTCTTCGACAGCACTCCAACGACGGCGACCCTGCCGGCTTCTCCGCCCCGGCTTATATCCGCTCTGGCGTGGCCAGGGGCTCTGCCGGACCCATTCCAGATTCTTCTCGAGGGCTCTGGTTCCCCATCACTTTTCCCTCTCGCCCCCCTTGGGGGGTAGCCCCTTCCACCTTGTCCGGTCACGTGTCCCCCCGGGTTCATCCAAAGACCACATCCTCAAGCGCTCTCTCTCTCTCTCACCTCTGCCAGAGCCATGCCCCTATAGCACCCCCCGTCACTGGGTACTATGGCTACCCTCTTGTGAAGCCTACACATATGTAACTACATATGTGTAGTAACATACTAGGCGTATGTGTAGTGACATTGCTGGATGTTACTGCACGACACTGTGTGAAGCGGGTGGCGCAATGTTGGCGTCTCAGACATCGCTACGAGTGGCTGTACGAATGGCACTGCGCTCTGGGTGTAGTGCCAGCCCCGGGAGGATAGGGCGCGGAAGAGTGCCAGGGACGGTACAGAGTTGAGAGGGGCCATGGCACTCTGGTTGAACCCGGAGGTCTCGTGACCGTAAGTAGAGACCCCGGGGCCCCCAAAGAGGGGGCTGGGGGGACCACGTGTCCAGGGACAGGTCCTTTTCGAAGCTTCCCAGGGAGGTGCGAGCCCGGGACCGGGAATATAAGCCAGAGCCCTGAGCGGCACCGGCTGTTGTTGTCTGGATGAAGATCCCCACCTCGTCGCTTGGAAGAGGAGCTCCAACTACAGGACCCGGACCCAAGCTGGGGGCCGGTCCGAGGTAGCCACCGACGTGTTAGAGTAGCTAGCTCGGAGGATATGACTCCCTGGTTACCTGGTGAAGGGGCAGCTACCCCTCGTGTTAGGAGGGCTGTTATTGAATAAACGTGTTGAATCCAAGAAGAAGTCTCTGTCTTCATCTGTACCCACTACATATATACTAAATTTCAACCCTATGTAAACTTAGGGCTGGAAATGGGAAGAAATTATTGGTGAATTTATAAATGATTTTCCCCATCCCCCACTAGATCTGGACCGTACACTAGATCTGAGGAGGAGGGGGAGGAGTTTAGCTCCTTGTGTGGGTATCTGTGTGTGTCTGGGAGTGTGGAGAGCGGTAGTGTAGTAAGTGATGAGTGTGCTGCGCTAGGAACCTGGCGAGCCGAGTTTAATTCCTGCTCACGGCCAACACCAATGACGATTATTTGTACTGGTCATGGGTCTCCCCTAGGTCGACTCAGTTTCAAATAGTACCTCGTGTGGTGTGTAAACATCACCACTAGGGAGACAAAAGCGGCGGGGTGTGGTGCTGGCCACCCACCTCCCTCGTGTGTTGTGGCGACCTTCATAGGTGCTTGGGAACAGTGACTTACCCCTAACAGTGGGTCTCTGTGGGTTCATCAGAATAAGTAGACCTAAGTAAATTGCAACCTCTCTGCTCCCCATGGCAGCCGCACCAACATTTTTCTGCCTCCTCTTGGCCCCCACCTCTGTCCCTCATTAAACCCCCCCCCCCAATTGGACGTCTGCGGTACCAGTTGACTAATCATATTTTGCCCCTCTGACCCCAATCTCCCTCCCTTAATTTAACAATGCTGCAAACTTATTGGTCAATCCCTGCTCAGGTGGTAGAACATTTATCCACAAAATTAAACTCGTCTACAGCAACAATTGTAATTCATTGGAGGAAAAGCACTCCTGTGCTACAAGTGTGCTACTGAACAGCGTATAGGAAAATTTGGGCTTAATTTCACTATCACTTTATATGCTCTACAAACAACGCTCCTCTACCTAGTTGAGGTGGCAGACCCTGAGCTCTACATGAATAGCATGCTCCGTATCATGCATTAAATGAACAACGCAATGCAAAATCAACAAGAAACCACAACAATGTTTCCAATAACAGCAAAGATTCTGTAGGAGAATTAAAGTAAGGAAACATAACAAAAATCAAGCCGACCACACGGGTTCGAGGAGCCCCAACTCGAACAGGCATTGTGGAGTCTTGCGACAGACACTGCTTAAACCACTCTGGTGTCTACCCCCAGTCATCTCTCCGGGCTTTCCGGGGATTCGAAGGACCTGGTTCTCAGCCACTTGGCTACAACAATCCAATGCAACCAGATTAATGGCGCTTCGGAGTTGCATGAGGGGCCTCCGATAATCTTGCTCAATTCAAGAACTCTTGGATCATTATCTACTGAGGTTTTGCTGTTTTCTGCCGACCGCTTGATGTTTTGGGTCTTTGCTCGGTAACTGCGGTAAATGTAAAATAAGCCATTCCTTTTGTGACATGGTGAACTCTGCGGATCGATTTAAATAGAGGTGACAGGACAACAGACTGCGGGGTGGGCAGCAGAGGGCATTGCCGCAAGAGTCGTTGGTGGATAAGCAGACATAAGTACGACTCAAGGAGAAGATCCACAAAGGAGATAGAACACCGTCTGCACTAAACTGCGCAAATCGGGTCACAAGCCGTAATCCACACGAGATAAATAGTTACTTAATAACTTCAAGTCCGTGGACTATCACTTTAAAGATACATGCACAGCTGTCACGTGATGGGGAGATAGTGTGTGCTGTATCAACCCACGAGGAGAGCCGCGTCGACACCGTCAGAGTTCAGCCCTGATAGAGCACCACCACCACCACCACCGCCGCTGCTGCTGTGCTCTCATCAATGGGCCATCGCCGTGAAGAGGCCGTCGTGCGTCAAGATGCCAGCTGTCACAGCTGGCGTGTGTTTGTGTCGCGGTGGCATCGCGCTGTTCACATGGATCTGCACTTCGGCAGTCGAGACAGGGTGCAAGGACTCCTGCAAGGGGAAGTGTTGTTGGGGCTGCTGCTCCCGACTCCTCTCCCCGTTCTTCCTCCTCTTCCCCCCCTCCTCGTTGCTGCTGCTCGTAGCTTTGACCTCGCTGTCTCCGCGTCCCCCTTGTGAGACATGACTCTTGGCTGGCTCTCGGCCACCTCGGGTCATTCATACACATTCCCCGCGTGCACTCCTCCAAACATTAGCAGGAGGCTCCCCGCACGCAGCCACGCACACTCACGTACACGCAGCCACCAAAAATCCGACGCCGCTACCCTCCCGGCGCCGCGCACCAATCGCACGCGCGGGACGGGGGGGCAGGGGTCAAAGGGCAGTGACGTCACTCGTACACGCGTAGCCGATTGGAGGGGGTGTCTCGGAGATGATTTAAAGGGCTGTATGAACAATCTCACGGGTACGCCGCCCGTTCGCCTCACGCACACACCAAACAAAGGCCGCACGAACAATCTCGCGGGTACGCCGCCCGTTCACCTCACGCACACACCAAAGGTCGCACGAACAATCTCGCGTGTACGCCGCCCGTTCACCTCACGCACACGTTAAACAAAAGGGCGTATGAGTAATCTCACGTGCCCCTGTACGAGTCCGCCGCCGCTCCCCACACGCTAACCACGAGCTGCTCGCATGGGTGAGCACAAACACGTGGGTGAATACACACTCACGCGCAAACACAGGGCACAACGACGCAGGAACCTCGGTCGGGCGCGCACACAATGGCCACCTCAACAGAGTTACCCGCGCGCAAATCCCCGTACCACGACGAGCAGACTCACACCACCATGCGCCCGTTCCACACTCGCAGAAACCACACGACAAGGTTTATTGATCACCAACAGTTTATTCTTAGTGAGTCCGAGGCTAAATATCACGTAGCCTGGAGTCAATATTAGTAGAATAACTAATCTATTCCCGACGGTCTAAGACCCAATCTGTCCCGTCTATTTTGAATTAACCTCCCTAGGCTTTTACACTTAAATCCCAACTCTCTCTTTCGTACTCACGGTTTGCCTCGGATGCACGGGCCGTCGCGGAGAGACGAGGCTGCACGAGGTTCTGGCTGGGAGCGGGGCCTGGCCTCGCTGAGGCTCGTCACACGGACGACCCAGTGGCCGGCAAGCTGACTGCTCCGATGGCTGACTGGAGGAGAATGCGAACTGCCCATCGTCGCTCTCCCATTTTACCCTTCTCTACATCAAAGGTCTGCCCGGCTAACCCGCGATACCCCACCGCCATCGGTGCCTTCACCGACGTCCACTTCCCTCTCTACCCATCAACAGGGGCCGCCGCTGGGCCGTTGCCATTGGCTACGGCGTGCAAGCATGCTTTTCCGGCCAATCAGATGCTTCCCCTGGGGCTCGTGTGTGTCCTAACTGCGGCGACTGAGTAGCCTCGTCGTGACCACGCAATTGCACGTCAATTCACGGCTCTGTGGTGTAATTAAACCTGGGGGAAGTCGTCCAATTCCCTGGCCCCAGGAAACCGTGGGGGATGTCCCTACGAAGAGGGCCCCTGGGTGAAAACCTGGAGGCCAGGTGACTTCCCCACGAGGTCCTACGTGGGGGTGTGTGTGTTGTGTGTGTAGTGTGTGTGTAGTGTGTGTTGTGTCTGTGTGTAGTGTGTGTTGTGTGTGTTGTGTGTGCTCATTTGGGGGGTGGTGAGGGAGAAGTAGCATCGGCCCGGACGCTCTCCCGTGGTGGCGTTGCAGGCACGGCTCTGACGGAGCGGCTTCGCTGTTGTGGCACCACACAAGACGCCTGTCCATTGACTGCCACTCAGGATACCAGGCCGTGATTAAAGGTCCATTCATCAAGAAGCCTAACAACTACTTCGGGTCTGTGATATCCAGTCATTATTAATTTTGAATTGTGCATCTGCATTTACTACTTTGATATTGGATGAGTTAATGGTGATTACTTCACTCATTGGTTCTTTCGGTAAAGTCACGTATGTAGAAATAAAGTAAAATTTAAAAAAATGACATTTCGAACGCAACACAAGCGCTCGTCCTCAGTTGAAAATGTCGTAAACCACAGAGCGAGGAACCAACAGAAGAGGGGACATCACACACAGAGCACACAGAGAACGGCAAACTGCACGGAGGCAATAAACAGCAAGAAGATGGGAGACGCGAACTCAGAAAACTTTCTAAATATAATGCGACGCAATCCAGTCGGCCCACAACACAGTTAGACACTAAACCTGGTTGATCACGTATTTCAAAAGGCTGCTAAATTTTGTGTTCATGATTACCTTTAGGGGCCGTCCATAAATGACGTCACGCACATAGGGGGGGTCGGTGTGTGACAAGGGGGGGGGGTGTGAGAAATGTGACGTCACATCAAAATTCGCAACTTTAAATAAGTATAAAAATGTTATAACACGACTAATTGCTATAACAACACTCCTACAACACCAGTGCGGCGCCACATTAAATACGCACTACAATGACAATAGTTTCAAGCGATTTGAAGCATGTGTTATTTTCAAAATGTAAATATGGTTTTGGGGGGGGGTCAGAGCTTTGTGACGTCATATTTGGGGGGGTCTGACTTTTTGTGACGCCGTGTGACGAGGGGGGGTCAAAATCGTCCAAAATCGCGTGACGTCATTTATGGACGGCCCCTTACCGACTAAACTAAAAACTTTAATATTTATTTAAAAACAATTTTACAGGGTAAAGCCCCACTGAGATATGCAGCTATTTTTCAGAGCAACTTGGTCACAAATGATAGCTCAACGAAGTGGCTTATGTAGACATTTATAGCAGCCAAATACTCTAAACGCATGTTTCTAAATGCGGAGGGAAAACCCGGAGGACCCGGACAAAAAATCCACGCGACCACGGGGAGAGAGACACTCAAACTCCAAATACACAGCAGCAGGCATCGTCAGGGTCGGGATCGATGCCCACGACCTCCTGTACACCTGGCGAGGGAGTTCACATCTCGCCTAGTTAAGTTGGGGGGGGGGGGGTACATGTTCTTTGGGTCTTTCGGTAAAGTCTCGTAGCCTATCTACGTGACTTTACCGAAAGACCCAAAGAATATGAATTCGTGAAGTCACAAAAGCTTTAAGCCAAGGGAGGGGGGGTGAGTCAAGTCGCATGGCGTCGGCGTCTGTGTAGTAAATTATCGCGGACCCTGCTGCGTGAGGCGGCGTGAGGCGGGGCGCGATTCACCGCGTACCCTGAGGCGCGGCCCGGCGCAGGAGAAAGAGGCGAGCGGGGAGCGTAGACCAAGTGAGAGGTGATGGTGGTGATGGTGGTGGTAGTGATGGTGATGATGGTGGTGGTAGTGATGGTGGTGATGGTAGTGATGGTGATGATGGTGGTGGTAGTGATGGTGATGATGGTGGTGGTAGTGATGGTGATGATGGTGATGGTAGTGATGATGGTGATGGTGGTGTTGGTGATGGTGATGATGGTGGTGATGATGGTGGTGGTGATGATGGTGGTAGTGATGGTGATGATGGTGGTAGTGGTGGTGGTGATGATGGTGATGATGGTGGTAGTGATGGTGGTGATGGTAGTGATGGTGATGATGGTGGTGGTAGTGATGGTGGTGATGGTAGTGATGGTGATGATGGTGGTAGTGATGGTGGTGGTGATGGTAGTGGTGGTGATGATGGTGGTGGTAGTGATGGTGGTGATGGTGATGATGATGGTGGTGGTGATGATGATGGTGATGGTAGCGTGGTGATGATGGTGGTGGTGATTGTAGTGATGGTGGTGATGATGGTAGTGATGATGGTGGTCATGGTGATGGTGGTGGTGATGGTAGTGATGGTGATGATGGTGGTGATGATGGTGATGATGGTGGTGGTAGTGATGGTGGTGGTGATGATGATGGTGGTGGTGGTGATGATGATGATGGTGGTAATGGTGGTGGTGATGGTGATGATGGTGGTGGTGATGATGATGGTGGTGATGATGGTGGTGATGATGGTGGTGGTGGTGATGATGGTGGTGATGATGGTGGTGGTGGTGATGATGGTGGTGGTGATGATGATGATGGTGGTGATGATGGTGATGATGGTGGTGATGTTGATGGTAGTGATGGTGATGATGGTGGTGGTGGTGGTGATGGTGGTGATGATGGTGGTGGTGGTGATGATGGTGGTGGTGATGATGATGATGGTGGTGGTGGTGATGATGGTGGTGGTGATGGTGGTGGTGATGGTGGTGATGATGGTGGTGATGATGGTGGTGGTGGTGATGATGATGATGGTGGTGATGATGGTGGTGATGATGGTGGTGATGGTGGTGATGATGGTGGTGGTGATGATGGTGGTGGTGGTGGTGATGATGATGGTGGTGGTGGTGATGATGGTGGTGGTGGTGATGATGATGGTGGTGATGGTGGTGGTGATGGTGATGGTAGTGATGATTATGGTGATGGTGGTGGTGATGGTGATGGTGGTGGTGATGGTGGTGGTGATGGTGATGATGATGATGATGGTGGTGGTGATGATGGTGGTGGTGATGGTGGTGGTGGTGGTGATGGTGGTGATGGTGATGATGATGGTGGTGATGATGGTGGTGGTGATGGTGATGATGGTGGTGGTGATGGTGATGATGATTATGGTGGTGATGATGGTGGTGGTGGTGATGATGATGGTGATGATGATAGTGGTGATGGTGGTGGTGATGGTGGTGGTGGTGGTGGTGATGATGATGGTGGTGGTGATGGTGATGATGGTGATGATGGTGGTGGTGGTGGTTATGATGATGGTGGTGGAGAGTGCGATGTGAGAGGAGACGGTGGTGGTGATGGTAGTGGAGAGTGCGAGAGGAGGAGGCGGTGATGGCGGTGGAGAGCGCGATGTGAGTGGTGGTGTTTGATGGTGGTGGAGAGTGCGATGTGAGTGGTGGTGTTTGATGGTGGTGGCGAGTGCGATATGAGTGATGATGGTGGTGGTGGAGAGTGCGATGTGAGTGGTGTTGGAGGTGAGTGGTGGTGATGGTGGTTGATGATGGTGGTGGTGTTTGTGTTGATGGTGGTGATGGAGAAGAGTGCGGTGTGAGTAGTGATGGTGGAGGTGAGTACGGTGTGAGTGGTGATGGTGGTGGAGAGTGTGGTGTGAGTGGTGATGGTGGTGGAGAGTGCGGTGTGAGTGGTGATGGTGGTGGAGAGTGCGGTGTGAGTGATGGTGGAGGAGAGTGTGATGTGAGTGGTGATGGTGGAGAAGAGTGCGGTGTGAGTTGTGGTGGGGGTGGTTAGTGCGATTCGAGTGGTGATGGTAGAGTAGGATACGCTTGATAACATACTATATGCTACAACACAATGGTACCGGTTTAAACGCTGTTTAAATTATAAAATATCCAAATTGGCATCATATCAATAAGCACTTTCCCTGCACTCATCCCCTTTGGATTCCCCTCCCAATTTTCCTATCTTTTCCCCAAGTGCTGAATTGAAAAAAACGTATTCCACGCTTAACTATTACATTTTTGATCGTGCAGTTTATTTCTGACCTCTGTGGCCAAGAACTATAAAAAAAAATAAAACATCTGCATAAATCATTTGACACTTTTTGTTCGTTCCAGAGCTAATCCTTCCGTCTGTAATTAATTGGATATCTCAAGTGGTGGGATGACATTCCATTGGCCATTGACAAAGGTGTAGGAGATTGCTTCCTTAATATTTCACAGTACCCTGTTCCCTGCACTGAATTTAAATTAATCCTCTTGTCCTATGGGTTGAATAGCTCCAACCATAGTAATGTGGAATTCCCACCTTGAGCTCATAGCTATGATCAGGACATGAGCACCATTTCTCCAATGCTCATTTAAGCAGGTAACCACTGACTTTATATTCAATATTGACAAGGTCAGGCTAGGATAGTTTGCAGATTTCACAGGTTTGTTGAATACCAGCTAGTAAATTTTCTCTCATTGGCGATGCCCGGTTAAGTCTTTTTTTTAATAGAAACATTGTTGTGGTGGCTGCGGTGGTAGTGTGTGTTCATTACAGATTCACTCCACAATGGCAGACATGGCGGCTGCCACCGTCACCGTAAAGATGGAGGCGGATGGGGACACGGGAGATCCGCCGCAGGATTTTGTCAAAGATTTCCAGGAGTACCTCACTCAGCAGACCAACCAGGTCAATCTCATCTCAGGTTCCATTGGTTCTGAGACAGATCCAGAGCCTCTCAATGGAGGTGAGCATCTTGAGGTTGGACTCGAGTACAGAGTTACGGAGTTCTCCCTTTCCTTCTCACCTCACTTCCTATAATTTATAAACTTTGGGCAGTGACGTGGTCTAGCGATAGCATTCGCCATTTGTTGCAGAGGTTCATAGTTCGATTCCTGCAAGCAGCCCTGGTTATTACTGCGGTGTAGATTCACTGCAAAATACTACCAACAGCAGACATTACAGATCCCCTGTTGAAAGTCGAAATGAGTAGGCCATTGTGTGCCAGCGTGGTCCAAATTTTTGAAATCCAAAAACTGGCACCGCAATTTACTCAATTGACATTACGCGTAGAAATCGTCGCCCCCTACCAGTGGTCGAATGCCCACTTGCAGGCCGGTACTGAATCATCATCCTGTGCTGTACAGCAACTACTGCTGGTCCCCCTGGGAATGAGATGAGGTGTGATGTCAGGAGCTTTGGTTTACTGAGGCATTTAAGGAGGCGTCATGTAAATGCAAGGATTGCTATTTATATTATAAATGTAAACAAATTCCAATTCGTGTGACGCAGTGGGCGATCCCTCAGCCCTGGCGGACAAGATGGAGGGCTGCCTGGAGGATGGGCTCGGCCTGCCGCTCGACGGCTACGAGCGCACACAGGACGGGAAGCTCAAGTGCAAGTACTGTGACTACGCGTGCAAGGGCACGGCGCGGCTCGAGGAACACATGAGGACCCATACCGGTGGGCGCGGCGACGGAGCATGGCAGCTGCATGCGCAGAGCGCACGCCCCGCTCACTCTGCTTTGCCCGCGAGTAGTCTTGTTATTGTCCTCGTGGGTTAAGAGCAGCGTTTTTCAACCTTTCTCATTCTACGGAACACACTTGTGCCCGATCTTCGCAGCACCCTGAACCCCAAAAAAATCACTGTGGGCCTGGACAGATGGGATGGGACTGCTTTGTAGCTGAGAGAGATTTCGAAATCCCTTGCTTATACTCCGTGACAAAAAAATTGCCCAACTGCGTGAGTGTATTTGTGCCTCTATTTTTGTCTCCGTGTTCTGTGCGTTTGTCTCCACGTCTATTTGCTCATCTACACGTCTGCAACTGAAGGAGTTCAATGGGCCGGGTATTTGGGCTGACATCTCTCTGCTGCTGTGCTGCAACAAATGGAGACGAGGGGAAGGGAGGTGGGGGCTGGATATTCTAATTCCAATAATTCTGCGGCAGACCTGGGACTTTGCCACGGCACACCTGTTGCGAAGAGTGGATTTGGGCAGGACACATCATGGCTAGAAGTGATAATGGCCACTGGTCAAGAATGACGGAGTGGCAGCCAGCGAGTAGACGGAGCGATTAAATCAGTTCATGTGCTGCTACTGCACTTGAACTGAGAGGTATGTGTTTGTGTGTGAAAGTGTGTGTAGCTATTAGCGCGCTGCGCTCCGAAAGCGGCAACCCGAGTTCCATTCCCGATCACGGCTAACACCAGAGATGATTATCTGACCAGGTTCTGGGCCTCCCCTAGGTCAACCCAGCCTCAAATGAGGCTGGTAATGGAACTCGGGTTGCCGCTTTCGTAGCGCAGGGTGCTAGCAGCGCGCTAACAGCTACACCACTTTCACACACAAATGAGGCTGAGTACCTGGCGGTGTGTAAACATCGCCACTGGGGAGACAAAGGCAGCCAAGCATGCGGCTGACCACTCACTCCCTCATGTGCCATGCCGGCCTTTTAAATCTCATCTTAAAACAGATTTTATTAAATCAGTTTATTCTATTTAGCTTCTGCTCTCTTGGCCTTTCCTTATTCTTACAAGGCGCCTTGGGACATTAGTGGAAGGCGTCTTACAAATAAATGTAAATTATTATTATTATAGGTGCAGCTCGTGAACAGCACTTACTCCAACAGTCTGTTTCGGCTATATGGGGATCGTTATCGTTGTAATGTGTCCGTGCATGCACGTGGCCCGTGTATTTGTCTGTCTTTGTGTCTTTGTCTTGTCTGTGTTTGTCTTGTCTGCGTGTGTCTTTTTCTTGTCTGTCTGTGTCTTTTTCTTGTCTGTCTGTGTCTTTGTGTGTGTGCAATTGTGGTTACTCATTGCGCCACTTCCAATAAGTAAGCCAGCATCAGGACTCAAGGTAAGTGAAAATTAAACAGATTTTTTTTTATATTTGTTACTTTGTTTTGTTTTATTTAGCATACAGTTTTTTTTTACACTTACATGCAAATTTACAACATTTCTTCTCATGAGTTTAACAATGCTTCCCTTTTTGGTTGAACTGTAACCCATTTAAAAACACTGATCATAGGGGTATTTAAATACAGCACAGTGTTCCCTACTTGCAAACCGTTCGACTTAGGAACGATCCTAGGAACCAATTATGATTGTAAGTCGAGGACTGCCTTATACATACATTCTGAATCTTTATTGTATGCAATAGGGAGGTGGCTGGAAGAAGACACCAGGTGCAGCCATTCTGTCCCAGTGCTTGTCGATGCTTTTGGCCTCCAAGAGCCTTTTCTGTAGTAATCGTCACATCACCCAGGCTCCGACTACCCTGTTGTGGGTGCCATTGTTTTAAACCGGCCATGTGGCTGAGCAGTAGAGCAAGCGGCTCTCAATCGGAAGGCTGCAAGTTCAAATCCTGATTGGCAGTTGATTCAGCCCATAAGCCCTCTGGGGTCTATACAATGATTATCGCTTTTGTGGGGAAGTTAACAGTAATTTTCCTCCAGATACTCGTCACCAAAACTGAAGCAGATGCATGGGGAGAATGTCGCCCGAGTAAGGAATCGAACCCAGGAACTTCTTGTCGAGCACAAATGTTACTACTACGCCACCCTGCCGCCCAACTGAACGTGTTACCCCACCCTTTCTCTTTGCTGTGACCGTCGGCTTTGTTCGCGCAGGAGAGAAGCCTTATCGCTGCCACCTGTGCTCCTTCGCCTCGGCCTACGTGCGCCACCTGGAGGCGCACATGCGCTCGCACACGGGGGAGAAGCCCTACAAGTGCAACCTGTGCTCGTTCCGCTGCAGCGACCGCAGCAATCTCTCCCACCACCGCAGGCGCCGCCACAAGACCTCGGGCCTGGTTGGCCTCTCGGGTCTGGCCCAGCGAGGGATCCTGGCCAACCGCCGCAGCTTGCTGGGACTTGGGGCAGCGTTCGTGCGCAGGGCTCATCACGCCTACCCAGGGCACTCGGGCTCGTTGTTGTCCGCGTCTTCGTACAACTTGCATCAGCACGGTGGAGGCGGTTACGGAGGACGACGTGCGAGCCTGAGCCTCAACATGAGCCCACCGACCATGGTGGGCATGGGCCACGGTTCCATTGCACCGCAGTCCAATGCGAGATTTCACGGGGATGACCTGGCTCCGAGTATGCGGAACTACAGTTCTCTCTCCGACGGCGGCGTCGCCCCGGAAATGAGTGAGGAGACGCCGCTTAGCCAGTTGTCGGCTCTCGCCGGGCAGATTTCCTGCTTGGTGTCTGGTGAAGTTCGCGGTACTCAGACGGCGCACGCCGACCAACGCGGTCGCGTCGGGAACATATGCGAGACGGGGAGGATCAACGAGCAGGAGGAGCTGGACTGCAGCGAGACGCAAGGGATAATCTGCAGCGAAACCGGACAGCTCATCGAAGACGGCAACAAGGATGGATTGGCATTGCAAGAACGGGACGGAAAAATAATGGAACACCTTTACGCAGCGCACAATTTGGAAATGCCTGCAAACGGTCCAGTGGTCGCTGCATCCATCAGCCTAGCCCAGGAGCAGTCTCCAGCTCATTCTAGCCCAGAGCCCCAGTCTCATCACTCAGCCCAGCACCACCACCACCAGCAGCAGCATCATCACTCGCAGCCCTCCTCGAGGCAGACATCGCCGTACCCGAACAAGCAGGAGAGTGGGCACCACCCTCCCAGTGGGTGCAGCCCGATCAGATTGACGAGCAGCAGTGAAATGAGTCTGAGAGCCAACACACCGAGCAGCACGGGAAGCCACCGGAGCACACCCGCCCTGCCCGTGCTCCAGACTCCCGGCTCCTGCCCCCCAGGGGGGCGTCTCTCCCCCATGCGTGGTCCCCCGGCCCTCTCAAACCAGGCTGACACAGAGGCCCACCAGTGCCCTCACTGTGACATATACTTCCCAGACAATATACTCTACACCATTCACATGGGCTGCCATGGCTATGAGAACCCCTTCCAGTGCAATGTTTGTGGCTACTGCTGCCACGATCGCTACGACTTCAGCTGTCACTTCGCACGAGGGCAGCACAAGCGCTGAAGATGCACGTCAAGGGAACATTGAGATTATAAAAGTAATAAAAATAAATAAGCAGGCAATACACCAATACGATACATATGTCCCTCCACATACAAATTCAAGTTTTCTTTACACATCCCATCAGCCACACGACCTTCCTTCTAGGAGTCCATAATTTCAGGAGCATATATCCAACACATGCATACTCCAGACTGGTTTTTACATTAATTGTCTCATCAGCAGTCGAGCTTGCTTGAACCAATGTTGATGAACTGCCAAGCTAATGATTGTTGCATATTGTATGGTTTGCATCGAAGTAGGACCCATATCTAACAGAAAGGGTCCTTGCCTATACGCCTGACAGCAAGCACGTTATGCCAATGCGTTCTAAGCTTGCTGATGAGACACTAAATGTTGAAACCAGCCCATCGTTTGCTTATGTTGAACCAATGCTGTGAATATTGTCTCCCAGAAGGCCATGTGGAAAATGTGTAAACAAATACTTGGATTTTTCATCTGGAAAGACGGATATGTGAAGGAGGCATATTGTCTTCATTATTTATTGAGATTACAACTTCGATTCCTCAGCTGGTTCTTGGCTATAAACTGCTGTTAGCAGAAATACTACATTGAGCTTTAGAAAGCACTGGTGTAACGTTGACATTGTGTAATATATTTACCAACAATGCCAATGCATACAATGTTTACATGTAGTGTAGTGTGTAGGGTTAAAAATTGATGAGTTTTTTTAATGTTTGTAACGAAACATTCAGTAGTGACACGGAGGCCTTTAGTCACAGACTGGGAGTCGCAGCCTCTTTGTTACAGTTAGTGTTTTGCAAGTGTTTGTTACACGCTGTGTATTGTCTCAGCCAAAGTAGTGTTTCGTTTTTATTCTTAGGCATGTATATTGAAGCACGGTCATTGTCATTTTTAATCTAAACAAACCTACAACCAATGCAAAACAACCACAAATTATTTCGAATGTGTAATGCACACAGTTTTCATGTGCTCACTTTCGGGAGAGAGAGGAGAGATTATGGAGAGGCACGGGAATCTAGAGAAGCGGGAAGGCGGCCAGAACCGAAGCCAATAATTGTCCAAGCTCTCTGATCCTATATTGGGATGTTTGACCAACGCCAATAGCACTGTAAGTATGCATACGTAACAATACAAAAGGGTTGGAGCACGATGTCAGAGTAGTGGTTGAGTTTGGCATTCAACTGCATAATGCAACCATGGTGATGGAATTCACATGCTGCCCACCCACCACTGGATTACATTTGTAGGCGAATTTAGAACCGATGAAGCACCAATGCTGCAGTGATTCACAGGCATGCTATGGTATTTTCAGAATTGGAGGAAAGCCTCCCACCCTCTTCTCTTCATTGGTCATGGCAGAGTGCAACAGATAGCTGTCATCCTCCAACTCTTGACATCTCAACTTCTTCGGTCGTGCATGCACAGTTGTGCAGACGAGGCACACAGACACGGAAACAGAGATGCAACAAACAGATCCCCCATATAGCCTAAACAGACTTTTGGGGAAAGTGCTGTTAGCGAGTAGCACCTGTGAAGGCCACACAGACAAATACACTCAAACACAGACAGATATGATGACAGACACGGAGAGACAGACCCACAGAGTCATGGAAACAACAGCTGCCAATCGCCACTGAGTCGTGGTGACGTCACCCCGCTGATTGTGCCAGGGTAGGTGAAGTTTGAGGTCACGCGAAGTGTCGAAGGCTGGCTGGCAGGTCACAGGAAAGACCCAGGTGCCATTGGTTGACTGAGATGAGGGGCAGATACACCACCTGTGCTCCCTACAGTGTCAACTTGCTGTTTTTTAGCCACTCAGCGCTCCGCTAATTATTTATGTCGCTCCGCTCCTTGTGAATGTCGCTCCTCTGCCCTCTGCTGTTGTTGGAGGATAACTGACCCTCCTCCATAGAGGCCGATCTTGACTCTGCTTGTATTAGTCTTCCTCAAGTCCACTAAGCTCCATTTCATCCTTTACCACAGTCCATCTCTTCTCTATCCCATGCCATATCCGGTTAGCCTGTATCCGATTCAACAAGCTGCTTGGGCAAGCGGTGGCTGGGCATGCGGGGGTATATGACCCAGCCAATGCAGCCTTCAGATCTCTCAAGGATTTGTGAGTTTACACAATCCAGCCTGGTTAAATCCGGGCCAGCCCGAATGTTTCTAAACGGCGCAGATGTTCCATTCCATGTGTCCGCGTTTCGTAAGCATAGATACGGAATGGCATAACTGGCCGAGAAGACCTGCAGCTTCGTGTTGAGCAATAGACCAGGTAGCTTCCACACAGCGTTATCCCGCTGATGAAAACATAATGCCGCTCTGCTGATTCGGAGTGAGACTTCTGCCACCAAACCAGAGCTGGTCGCAAAGCACACGACCCAAATACGGAAACTAGTCTCAAACGGTGTTAGATCACAGGACGCCAAAAGGCGTGGACCAATCAGTTTCAAAGACAATGCATATACTATATTCTTGGTTCTTTCGGTAAAGGCACGTTGAAGGGAAACAAAATAATAAAATATATATAAAACAATAAAATTCTCACGACGTTTCGACTGCAACACAAGCAGTCATCAGGTGTGAAAACCAATGTTCTTGCCGTTGGTTTTCACACCTGAAGATGACTGCTTGTGTTGCGGTCGAAACGTCGTGAGAATTGTATTGTTTTATACATATTTTATTGTTTCCCTTCAACGTGACTTTACCGAAAGAACCAAGAATATGAATCACTGCAGTCACGAAATCTTTAAATCAAAATGTAATGCATATACTATCAGTATGTTTTTGTTTGCATTTTGACCACAAGTATTGTGGTTAATGCAGACATCATTCCTTGTAAAAGGTTTCAGTTTGGTGTTTTAACGTCTTAGCGCCTGTTTTGTTGCCAGAAAAAGGGGAAAACCTATTCCCATATTTTGATATTGGCAAAGGAAATCCCATGATGTATCCTTCCCAATACCTTTCCCGGCACGTTCAGGGAGATGCCCCGAAAGTTAAAGTCAGTGCGTGTCCCCCTTTTTAAAAATGGGGACAATCAGGGCATAATTCTAATCCTACGTAACCTGTCCTGTGGTCCAGACAACTGTAATGTTATGAAGGGCAGCCAGCACACAAACACCACCCTCGGCAGTTCGCTTGGAAAGTCATTTCTGAAAAGTCATCCCTGCCCGGCACTTGACTTTGTCTGAGGCTCTGGATTGCCTTTCGCACTTCCTAAACAGATGGCACATTAGCCAAGAACTCCAGCTACTTCCTCCGAAATTTGAGGCACAGAAGGCCCCAGCAGGGTCAACACGACCATGTACCATATCTGATCTGATTGGTTTCCCCTCCCTCAAGACATTCTCCGCAAACCTGTTCCTCGGGGGTCTGAGATTAACCACTTTCCCCCTTAAGGACAGTAATAGATGTCGGATTTGCTGATAGCTTTTTATGGAATTATAAAGTTTCTTGTGGTTTTGCATGACTGAAGCATTTTCCATCTCAGCAACCCGTGACCACCACTCATCCTTGCATTGCCGAACTGCTTTCCGAACCCCTGCGCAAAGGTTGTGGTAAACCTCACTCTTGGACGTGGGATGTTGGGGATGGTGGGAGTGGGCCTGTCGTTTTTTTCTCAGCTAGCCGGAACATCACCTCTCAGCCAGGGTCTCTGGGGAGATTTGGACCGCATCCCCAATGCAGCCATTTCCTCACGGCATCAGGCGATAGGGATGAAACCCCATTTGGACACGATGAAAATATTGCAACTTTCATCAGCTAGCCAAGATCAGGCTATTGCGGGTTTGAATGTGGTCCTATGTGGATGCCCACCACCCCAGAATGGCAGGCGCATCTTACAGTTGACAAGTCGATGTTCAGTGGGTAGATCAGCTCCACGATATGTCCTGGTGTCAAGGACATGTGCCTGTATTCACTGCTCCGTAACTATTTAGTCCAGCAAATGTGTTTCCTTGGACCCGGCGTGTATCCATGATGTGTGGATGCACCGATGTGTGGAACAGTGTTTTGGTAATTACAAGCCCATGACTCGCACATAAGTCTAGCAGCCTCCGACCGTTATTGAGCTAATCTGGCCTATGCCTTCCAGTTCTTTGGCCCACGTGCCTGCATCATAACCCACTCGGGCATTACATTCTTCCAATAAGATGACTATATCTCGAGAAGCCACTTTAGCCAGCACTTGGGATAGGAGATCAGAGCATTCATCCGACTCATCGCCCTTGTCTGCATCCCTCCAAAGATTTTCATTTTTGGTGGGAGTATAGGCTACCACCACAACTTGTTTATTACCACAACTATTTATCGCCACAATATCCTGGGACTCGCAGCTTCCCACACCACGCCTCCACGCTCCCACACCTCCGTCATCCTTTTGCTCTGAAGCAAAGTGACTCCCTGTTTAGCAGTTTCTTGCCTCGAGTGGAGGACTGGCCACCCTTAATTATGACTGGAGCCATAATCAGTCGACCGGACATATAGACTCGAACACTCTCACAGATATGGAAACACAAACAGACCCGAATACACTCAAACACAGACGGAAACACACTGACTCGGCCACGAATACACACAAACCCACAGAATATTAGGTCATGCATACACAGACCCACAATATTATACAGGTCATGCAATTACAGACCCAATTGTATTGGCGCTCCGACATTGAGACAGACACTCAAATACACTCACAGAGACCCAGAGATATGGAGACACTCGTAGAGACAGACCTGGAGGTTCACACAAAGACACGAATACAGAGATACAGACAAACTTCACGGAGATACACAAGATACACGGAGATATACAATTGGCCATATTCTTGTCACAGATTGTGGCAGCGCCACGTCATTATGATGTTCTCGATAACATAAGTATAAGCAAGGCATTGTGCATTTACTCGGCTACAATGCTTTCCCACCTGGGGACGGAGTATTGTTTTTGGTTCAGTCTGCAGTGAAGATCTTGCAAGCTGCATAATTTTTAAAATGGGGGTCTCCATAATTTTTAAACTTCATGCACCCAGAGTATTATCTCTTAGTGTTGCGATCTGACAAAAATGTGGTTGATTTGAAACCTGAATCATAGAACTGACCATTGGAGTATTGGTAGTTCCCGGTGCGTTATACCGGTAAACTGGTTCGTAACCTTGGCCATGTTGAAGGTCGTTGCGTGGTGGAGAGTGACTGTTACACTCCTTGCAGTCAAAGTGATTTAATGCTCTTGAGCATCGAGGCAATGGATACAGTGTTGTATTTGCCCATTGAGTATACACATCGAAATGTTTTTCAGAAGTATTTTTTGATGTGCTATAGCATATATTGAGTTATTGGCTCAATAGCGTTAACTTATTAACACTTAAAAGGTAGTTTTTTTGCAGCCAATATGATCTTTGATTAATGTTTGAGGTTAGGTCATGTAATAGGTCGAAACAATGTTCGTATCCCCTAAAACCACCCGAAATACCCAAACAAATGTAATGTTCACTTGCACAAGCGTTTAACTCTGCAGTTATTGTTTCAGCTCACCATTGAGTTAAAGAAACTCACCAGTGAGTTAAAGAACAATATTTTACAACCAAATTTAGCAGATGCGACGTTTCTCTTGCAACAGCTCAAGGTTCTTCATGTCATGAAGCCAGAAAATCAGGAAAGCTATGCATTACGTGACCCATAAATGATGCAATCTGTTCTGCCTGTGTGGGCTGAATGCGCTCGCCCGGCCTCCCATTGACCTATTCTAACATGTGCCTCCACTCTAGTACCAGCATCGGAAGTGCTCCCGTTTAGGGAAGCGAGGTCATCGCTTGCGATTGGTCAAATTTCACCAAAACACAGTCATAATTTCAGCTCTTGTGGTTTGTTAG